AATTTTTATTAATTTTATTGATATTATTAGCTGAATTTTATATAATAAATTACTTGAGCTTACATTTATTTTTAATTAATTTGTTATAAAAAAATATCCACGATTAATTATTTATTTTTTTATATCACCAAACTTTCTATTTAAATATTATACTTATAACTATATATAATTATATCACTTAAATATAATTATTTAAATATATTATTTATTTAAATATAATAATAATTATAGTAGTTTTTTTAACACAAATTAAGAAAAACACACCTAGACCGTACTAGTTTTCTAAGAAAAAGGAAACAAGAAGATTCATTTTCAATGAATCCTGACTAAATTCTTTTACGCTGTGTTCGTTTGAAGGGAAATTACGATCTGCCCTCATCCGTATTTAAAGAGAGAGAAAATGCAAATTCATAAGATATACCATGCTATATAATGTATTTGTGGCATTATTATTTCAATTGTAATAAATAAACTCCAAAAAAGGATAACAAACACAATACACGTCATCACACACGGTTTGATTTCGCTTTTTCTTTTTGGGTCAATGACTCAAGGCGAACAAAAACAAACCGTAAAAGAACAATAAAAAAAAAACATTTTTGTCATTTAAAAAACTCTAAATAAACGAACCGCTTGTGTTGTGTGAGCGTGAAGGGCCACCATTTATATTCTATATATATACATACTCATACCAGTGCTTCTGTATTATCGAGTACCCACTCTCTGTTATCACAAATTCTAAACCCTTTTGTTTCCTTTGAGAACTTCACACCACAAATGGAAGAGACCAAATCCAAGTTCAAGAGAATTTGTGTGTACTGTGGAAGCAGTTCTGGTAACAAAGCCAGTTACCAAGAAGCTGCTGTGGAACTTGGCGAGGAAATGGTAATTTTACTTCCAAACTCCTACTTTAAACTTTCACTTTTCTACCACTTTTCTACCATTCTACACTTAATATCACTTTCACCACCTTCTCTTAATTTTCTTCTTTAGATCACAAGTCCTTTTCAGATGAAAAAGACACCCAGTTGTTTTTATCAATTTCTGCACTCTTTCTTTCTTCAATCTTCATAGAGTCTACACTCGAGCTCAGTAAAAAAACGAAAGAAAAATGGTTTAGACTTCAAAGCAGGCTTAAATCTTCATCCACTTGATGTTGGGTAGCCTAGCATTATTATATTTTTGTCGTATTAGCTATTACTTTAACCATGTTCAATGAACTTGCTTCGTTTAAGGGTATTTGAAGCCTTTTTTTTCTTCAAAGACTGCGGCAGTTTCTCCTCCTTTGTGGGTTATTTTATTCATTTTTTCTCCTCTTTCTCAACTGTGTTTTCCTTTCGTTTTCTCATTCTATTAGTTTTAGGTAAGAAATGTAATCTTTAAGGTCTCAACTCTTGGTTATGATCGATGAGGAACGAGAAAGGTTTAGGTTAAAAGTTTGTCATGAAAGAGAGAGATTGCAAGCTGGAACCTGCTGTCAGTTGGGCAGCTTTCTTGCATGATCTATGTTATGCTTGTAACATGTTTTTTTTTCTTCTTCTGGTTCTTTTTTGTATCAACAATTTTCCAACCGAACAAAAAAAAATAGAGAAAGAAATGTTGTGTGCGCGTTTCAAGGAGGATGAACGTGCAATTCTGGCATGATTGCACTATGAAGCGTGCTCTTAGCCTTTGGCATTCCCCACAAGCTTCATCACCTCCATGATTTTTCCCTGTAGTCGAGGGGTAATTTTTATTTGCACCCTAAAACGATTTTTCCCTGTCACCAAACTTTACCATTGACCGCTTACTGAATATACTATAGTAAATTTATCAGTATTTTATTTGGCTTGTGTCCAATAACTTGAGCTTGTTTGTTTCTTCCATCATGATGATGATCAACTCGGCGACACGTGTCTAACTGGTTTGGTTTTCTATGTAATTGATTTTTTTGTAGGTTAAGAGAAGGATTGATTTGGTCTATGGAGGTGGTAGCGTGGGGTTGATGGGTCTAGTTTCTCAGGCAGTTCATGATGGTGGGCGCCATGTTCTGGGGTTTGTTCTCTCTCTCTCTCTCTCTCTATTAATCTCACTTTATGTCTATGTTTTATGATATGTAGACCACCTTAATCATTTTGTTGATTGATACAACAAAGTGGGTTATGATGTTTAATCCTTCTGTTTTGCCTACTGACCCATGCGTGTTTCCCTGTTTCCTAAGAAATGTGTTATGTTAAGAACATCATTGGATAAAAAAACTGCAACATGGGACATTAAATTTTACCTCTTTGATTAAAGCTTCCAAATGTTGGATTTAAGGGAGCATTTTGGATATAAATAAAATACAAGTTTACTATGTGTGGTGGTTAATGTAGCTTTATGTTGCATTGGGGTTGTTAAAAAAGAGGGGAAAAGGTGTTAACCTTTACCTATGGTTAGAAGCCTTTTGAACAGCTTTGCTCTGTTGGATAAAAGTTGAATGCCTTTTGGCCCTTTTAACGGTAGAAAGTTTTTGCAAAAGTAATTGCAGCCACACCATTGGCTTCAATTTTAATTTACTTTGCATGCACTTTCTAGACATGCTTAAAAGTTCATCATCTTGAGGCGAATTCAAATTGGTCTTTGTTTCTTTTGTTATTTGTTTATCCAGATAATCATTTTTCCTCTATAAAATAGTTCCACTTCTGTCTTTTGACTGATGGTGTGCATCATTGACTCGGTTTTGTTTTGCAGTGTTATCCCAAGAAGTCTCATGCCAATAGAGGTAAATAGATAACTCTTGTCTCTTTATACTATGCTGTCTCTTATTACATAGTATAAAAGGGGGAAAAATAATGTGACAGTAATTTAATAATGCTTGTGTTGGAAATACAGATAACTGGTGAACCAATTGGTGAAGTGAGAGCAGTATCTGATATGCATCAAAGGAAAGCTGAGATGGCTCGTCAAGCCGATGCATTCATTGCTCTTCCTGGTATGGATTGTAACTGATAACCATATTGACACGAACACAAAACTGAAAGTAACGACATAGTCATGTGAAGTGGGGATTTTGTGTCTTTTGACTGGTAGAACATCAACACATGTTGCTGTTACTCATGTCTTGTTGTTTTCAAACACCAGGGGGGTATGGAACACTTGAAGAATTGCTTGAAATCATTACATGGGCTCAGCTTGGAATCCACAGCAAACCGGTATGATCGAATTTCTGATGTGTGAATATAAAAAAAAAAAATTAAGAAGTCAAATCTCGTATTACTTGCCTTAATCAACTTGGCTTCCACATGACGCATGATATTACGCATTCATTCACTATCTTATTATAATTATGTATAATATGGATTAGACAAGAGTTTTGTTCATAGTTAGATACCCTGCTAAAAAGTATATATATATTGTAAACCTGAGAAAGGAACCAACACATGTGGGGTATTTAATTGAAGATTCTTTTACATGAGAAGATATGAGATTTTGTTTAGTTAATCGTTGTCACGTTACATTATTTGATGGTTCTCCGTTTGAATGGGAGAAAGATATGCCACGATGAATAAACATAGAAAATGATTGAGGGAAACGACACAAATTTTAAAGTTAATGGTCAATGGTATGCATATGTTGGTATTATTATTATTATTATTATGATTATGATTAAGAATTTTTGTGGTGCAGGTGGGTCTGTTGAATGTGGATGGATTTTACAATTCGTTGTTGTGTTTCATTGACAAGGCCGTTGATGNTGTCTCTTATTACATAGTATAAAAGGGGGAAAAATAATGTGACAGTAATTTAATAATGCTTGTGTTGGAAATACAGATAACTGGTGAACCAATTGGTGAAGTGAGAGCAGTATCTGATATGCATCAAAGGAAAGCTGAGATGGCTCGTCAAGCCGATGCATTCATTGCTCTTCCTGGTATGGATTGTAACTGATAACTATATTGACACGAACACAAAACTGAAAGTAACGACATAGTCATGTGAAGTGGGGATTTTGTGTCTTTTGACTGGTAGAACATCAACACATGTTGCTGTTACTCATGTCTTGTTGTTTTCAAACACCAGGGGGGTATGGAACACTTGAAGAATTGCTTGAAATCATTACATGGGCTCAGCTTGGAATCCACAGCAAACCGGTATGATCGAATTTCTGATGTGTGAATATAAAAAAAAAAATTAAGAAGTCAAATCTCGTATTACTTGCCTTAATCAACTTGGCTTCCACATGACGCATGATATTACGCATTCATTCACTATCTTATTATAATTATGTATAATATGGATTAGACAAGAGTTTTGTTCATAGTTAGATACCCTGCTAAAAAGTATATATATATTGTAAACCTGAGAAAGGAACCAACACATGTGGGGTATTTAATTGAAGATTCTTTTACATGAGAAGATATGAGATTTTGTTTAGTTAATCGTTGTCACGTTACATTATTTGATGGTTCTCCGTTTGAATGGGAGAAAGATATGCCACGATGAATAAACATAGAAAATGATTGAGGGAAACGACACAAATTTTAAAGTTAATGGTCAATGGTATGCATATGTTGGTATTATTATTATTATTATTATGATTATGATTAAGAATTTTTGTGGTGCAGGTGGGTCTGTTGAATGTGGATGGATTTTACAATTCGTTGTTGTGTTTCATTGACAAGGCCGTTGATGAAGGCTTTATTTCTCCAAAGGCACGTCGCATTATCGTGTCAGCCCCCACAGCCAAAGACCTGGTTCGGGAGCTAGAGGTGTGTAAAAGCTCGTATTATTTAAGAATTAAGATGGTGATGATGCTGATTATCATTGTTAGATAGTTAATTAGAGTGGCTTAATCAAGTGGGGACAATAATCATATGATGTTTTATGAAACAGGAACATGTACCTGAACGAGACGAAGTTGTGTCCAAGTTGGTGTGGGAAGAAAGACTGAGTTACGTGCCCGAATCAGAAGTTGCCACGTGACTCATCTTTTGTGAACTTAGTGGAGATTGATGAACTTAGTTTTTGGGATCTTTTCTATCATTTTGTTGTTCTTTTTTATGTATTTTGGGTACATAATATAGTCAATATATATGGGCATAGGAACTGTAGGATCATACATCATCCTCTTGTTTTGCTTTTTTTTTCTTCCAGCTTTTGTTGATGCCCCTACTATACAGAAAATTAGGTCAAAAAATATGGAAAAATCATGAGTTAATGGAAGTTAATTAATTATCTTATCGATCCTTGCTTTTTTGTTCATCTTTCAGACTTCCTTAATTTTTTATATTACTATTAAAATTAAAATGATATATAATTTACCCTTTAAGATAATTTAAATTTAACCCTTTGAGAACAATATACTCTTTAATAATGTAACTCAATTATTCTTGGATTCGAATGTCCTGTTTATTTAATTTTTATATAATGCACCATTATTATATAATGAACAACTGTTTACAAGCAATCTTCACAACAATTTACAAATAATTAGAAGAAAAACAAAGATATTAAAAGATATGCTCCATCGTCATGTAACGTCACCTTCAAGTAATTCATATTATATGTTTTTTTCATAGACTCTGTTCTAATGATAAGGGTATATTACAATTTTAATTTTGCAAAGTCAAAAGCTTAGTTTAATTGTTAAATGTTATCTTTTGATTTTAAGATCAGAGTTTTACATTAAATTGAAGTCTTAATTTTAAGATCCACAATATAGCATAGTAGTGAGCTTTTTTTTTTGAGATCTTAAACTTAAAATTATTATAGAGATATTATTAAGAATATGAAAACATATTAGATTAGATGTGTCATTATACAAAGGCTTGTCACGTGGGTAAAAAAAGAGCACATGAAATGGAATTGAGATTATAGCTTTTTGTGAGCTAATCTATATGATTTAGTGCAAAATGTCACTACATGGTTTTTTTTAATTGTTCATAAAAGAAATTAATAACATATTAAAAAAATAGTTATGAATTTATTTATTTTAAATTGAGATAAAAATTATTTGTTTGTGAAACAACATTATATATGAGTTTGAATGGTAATTTTGTAAACTAAACAAGCGATGCCACATCAAACACTTTTCTTAGCATCACCAAAATTTAATGATGTGATCTCTTCTTTTCTTTAATCAATTATTTGATCATTATCATGTCACTGTAAAGTTGGTTGGAAGCTTCATACAAAATAAGAAAAATGTCGGACAAAAACTACACAATAAGAAAACTTTGATGTAACAAAATACATGTGAGGCACATGATGTTTAGGAAATTAACACTTGCGAATTTGACTTAATCAATTAGATGAGATCAAATCTAATCCAATCTTGTTGGAAAATTCCCAGTCACCAACCATTAAAAAATTAACTCCACTCGGTCTGAACTAATTAATTTTATTCATCTATCTAGAATTTTCAACTATTTGATCAAAATATTCTGCTGCACTGGCCATCAAAAATATATTCCGAAAGAGAAATAAATAAAGGCTTTGGGAAATATTTATTGCATTCCTCTGTCCAACAAAGTTGGAATGAGAAGGACCTATGAGTTATTTTATCCTATAGTTTATATTAAATAAAAAAAGTTATTTTCAAGTGCAAGTAAATCCTATAAGAAAGAATTCTGGTGATGAGTGGGTGAGGATATTAATTAAATAATCGATAAAAAAAACGCGATATTTTTTTTATGTACCGAATAAGACTACAATGTTTTTAGTTTTCTTAATTAGTTATCTAATGTGTACATGTTAGCATTCCTCCTAGAGAAAGGGTGTTCTAGTTTATAATATGAAAACAACAAAATTAGAACTTTGAATTTTGTGTGCTTATTCATATTCAATTGCATGTTATTTGTGTGCATCTAGATATTAGAAACAATATTATCTGACATAATTTTCTTAAAACAATTATAAAGGAGAGAAAACTCGGTGTGTAAAATGAATGACATTTCTTCTATAAATTAAACGTAATTTATTTACTTAATTTTTTATGAAAAACTCATTAGTGTATATAATAGGTTTCGATTTCAAGAAAAATAAAATATTTCAAAATGTGATAACATATTTGAATTTATTTACATAACTGTAAACTTCTATTGTAAAATAATCAATAGAGTCTAATTTTTTTTAGGGTTAAATTTTTTAGAAAAGTTAATTTTTTGTCACAATATTATGTCGTTGTTGGGAACTCTTCGTTTATAGGTATGCTTTTTTCTTTCATTTCTCTTCTTGCTTTTTCTCTCTCAATTGTTTTCAACATTTGCATATCCTTCGTTAACAGGTTTCTTCAATTACATGTTCTCATAGTCATGTTTAAAGAGTTTTTTTGATGTTCGTTGTTCAAGTTCGTATTCTTTGTTTATTTATCCATCATTTCTATATTATCGTAAAAGCATAAAAATCTATAGTTCTCAATTTTTACCTATGTTGTTTGTTTATGATACATCTAGTGGTATTAAATTTTAGTAAATGAATTTTTTTTAATACCATAACAGGCAGACTTCAATTGCTCAAGGAACTGAAGTATATAATCAAATAAGTTTTAGATTGTTTTTCAGAACCAAAGCTTATTTCTTGTTTCGGTCGGATCTGGATGACCCTGCTAACACACGAGTTTGCCAAAGACCGGGCAGACACTGCTGAATCCCACGAACTGAAGCAGACCGAGCGACTCCATCTCTAGAGAGCACTAGAAGCTGACGAAAACCGGACGGTTACCTCTTTGTTGAGGGTTGGACGCGCTGGGAAAGGTCGAACAGGCTCTCTCATCTTCAAGTCCTCGTTGTAACATTCGTTCTCTCATTGTTCTCCGAGCCGGGCGGTCGGGTACCTGTCAAAGGCACTCCGACGCTTAAGTCAGTAACATGACCGAGTGGACTGTAATGCATGTAAATATTGCATCGTAAGCAATCTGTCCAGAAATCATACTTGGAACCTTTACTTATACTGATTGTAATGAGCTTTTACCTTTCGTGGGCCTAGTAACGGCCTGATAACGCCGCCCACCCAGGTCACCATCATAACTGAGCGTCTAAGCTAACGCTGTTCGAGCATACATAGACCGAGCGGTCCTCCAGGGTCACCCATCCAGGTCGACCATCAAGACCGAGCGTCCAAGCTTACGCTGTTCGACCACACATAGACCGAGCGGTCCTCCAAGTTCGCCCATCCAGGTCGACCATCAAGACCGAGCGTCCAATGTGACCGATCAGCAGAACCGAGTGGTCGCCCACCCAGGTTGACATCCCTAGCCGACCACCCCTTCTGACCGACCGTCCTGACCGACCCTCACTAGGTCGACTACACGGTTAAACACTAATGAATCATTAAAGCCCTTAATGAAGATTAAGGTATGATTGGGCCGTTATCAAGCCCACAAAAGGTAAAAGTCCATTACAATCAGTATAAATAAAGGTTCCACGTATGATTTCTAAACAGATTGCTTATGATGCAATATATACATGCATTACAGACCACTCGGTCATGTTACTGACTTAAGCGTCGGAGTGCCTTTGATAGGTACCCGACCGTCCGGCTCGGAGAACGAGGAGAGAACGAATGTTACAACCAGGACTTGAAGATGAGAGGGCCCGTTCGACCCTTCCCAGCGCGTCCAGCCCTCAGCAAAGAGGTAACCGTCCGGTTTTTGCCAGCTTCTAGTGCCCCCTAGAGATGGAGTCGCTCGGTCTACTTCAGTTCGTGGGATTCAACAGTGTTCGCCCGATCTTCGACAAACTCGTGTTTTAGTAGGGTCATCCAGATCCGATCGAAACATTCCTTAATTTATTTATTTGTATAACTTTTTATTATTTTGGATTTTAGTTAAAAAGAATCAATGAAATTTATACTTCCATTTAAACCAAAGTAAAAAAACCTTTCATTTTTATCTCACTCTAATAAATTTCAGTTTAAAAATCGAAATATAATATCAATAATATCCAATGTTAAAACCTTTCGCTATTATAATAACTTCGTCTCAAACGATAAAATTAATGAGAAGAGTTAATAAAATACTTTTAATTTGGAAAAGTGTTAATTTCAATAGATAATTAAATTTCGAATAGATTTATTTCCTAGAAGAGATATGAGGATCAAACAATATACCAATTCAAGAAGAAGAAAGAAAAAACTCATTAAATCAACAACTATGAACATATATCATAGCATTTTATAATACAACATTGGTATCATCGAATAAAAAAGTGTGTAACTTCTATCTCACGATTTTCATCAAGATAACCACCTTATTATTTTGGCTGTGAGCATATTTCAAAGATTTCACGGAATCTTTATAAACCAAATGATGGGATAACGTTGGTCTAACTCACAATATCATCACATGAACTAGGATTTTGTCGCATGTACCAAATTTATTTGCCATGTGTTGGTGGCTTTGACCAATGACCTAAAATTGTGATGTATCTAATAAAAGATAGCAACAATGCACATTAATTTAGTCTCTATTTGCACTAAACAATCATTTTATCTTTGTTGGGGATTCTTCAAAAGCAATGTGAACGTCTAAATTCCAAAATCTCCAGAAAAAAACGGAATTTGAACCACTTATATAAGTTGTGATGCTTTTTAGTACACCCCGTATTAGTTGACTTCTCATGTAGGACACACTTATAACTAACAAAATTTGCTGTTTTTTCTCTGTTTCAAACATGATCTGTGTTTCATCAACAATTCAGACGATAATATAATTTATTGTGTTATATGTGTTATGTATGTCTTTCTTATACCCAACAGATCTTATTTTTAGTGCAGACAATTCTATTCGCAAAATTTGTTATGATGGTAAAAAAAAGATTATTTAACATATTTACAAAACTGTTTTTTTTTTTAATTTTTTGTGGACATGTAAATACATTTTCTTAAAAAAGGCAGCAGAAATATCAATGAAATAATTGAGAGTGTGGATCTAAAATAGTTTTTCCATGATCGGAAAGTGTATCATGAGGTGATAATCAAATAAATTTGTAAGTTAATTATAGTATTTATTTGGCTTTTGATAAAAAAATAGTATTTATTTGTGTTGGAAGTCTCACATTAAGTAATATAAGATTAGTTTACAATATATAAGTGAATTTCATTTACAAGTCAATTTTGTGAAATTGAATTAGGTTTAAAAGTCATTTTTTAACATGATATTAGAATAATGGATTAGAGCACATCCTAGAAAAGTTGGTTGTTTGTAGGGTTCATTAGTTCATCCGTTATCAGACTGTTATTGGA